ATTTGCAGATATAAATCTTCATTTCTACTCTAATATTCTTTTCTATTTTTCTATAATGTCAGTGATACTTAAGGAATGAAGACTGAAGAAATATGTTTCCAATGGCTGCCTAACTTGATGTTATTGGCTACTTTGGAGATACTGTAGAAGAATATTGAACCGTATTTTCCTGCATATATTTATGTATCCATCATTCCATCTTTAGCCAAAGGAATATAAGCCAATGACAGAAATCTGTTCCCGATTATATAGTTGTTACAGCACAAATACTGTAATAAATCCATCCAGTTCTCAAGCACTCAAAGTCTAAAGGATAGAAGCGTGGCTTTGAGGGACTATATGGAGGACATGTATTCCATATGCTACATGTAAGAAAACACTGAACCAGGGAGTAGACACACACATAATAAAGAGTTTCTGATCATAGATTCATGGAGATTCCCAAAAATAATTTAAGTTAAAAAGAGGAACTTCTTGCCTAGAGTTTGCTATGAAAACTTGGATATCAGCATGTCAGTTTGGATTCCATACTGGAACTTTTTATACCAAGTGATCTATGAGTCTTTAAGCCATGTGTCTTCACTCCTGGATTGTGTTATTCTCTGGAAGGGCATAAAACAGAACAAATATGGTGACATTAGCACAGTCTTCTGCTATTTGCTTTATAGCATCACCAGCTCCAACACTAATCCTCCAGCTCTTGCGGGCATCTCACATGAGCTTCAAACAGTTCCTTTACCGACCACAGGGAGTGTGTCCTCTTTGTAAACTTCTGCTCCAGAGGCGGTCGGCGGTGTCTGCTGTCAAGGCCTCCATTGTACGTGGACCATGCGAAGATGTCCTGTGTCTGCTGGCAGAGCCCACAGTGATTCTCTCTCTCTCATCAGTACCACTGCTTTCATGAGTGTTGCCCTCACCTCCACAGGGCACGGATGCTGCCACTGGGCACGGCCACTGCCTTTCCCTGGTACTGCTTTTTCAGAGAGTATTATTAGGTGCTTCTGCTATGATATGCCACTGCCATCTCAATGCATCCCTCACACATACTCTGGCAACCATCACATACATGCTACCATCACCTACATCGGGCCTGTTTTTGCACAAGAACCATCAAGAAACCCTGTCCAATATTATATGGGGCTCTGTGAAAAACCACATTCTTCTCTTTAGTGAGATGTCAAAAAAAGGCTGCTTGGATCCTGTGCTCTACGGAATTTTTACTGAAAGCTGTGATGAGGTAAACTTTTTGACAGTTTTTTCTTCCTTTTTCCCCCTACTTAGTTCCTTTGCCTCTCCCCTCTCTGACAAGACGATGGAAAAAATCTAAGTAGATGGATTAATTTCAGTAAAACAATCAAGGAAAAAGAACCGCATCCCTGGAGAAGGGAGGCTTGTGGTAGAAAGATATGCCATGCCAGATGCATGTTGTGCAAAGGAGAATGCAGATGATGGGACAGGATGGTGAGGACAAGACTGTATCGATGGGAGAATTCTGTCAGGATGAAAGAAGGAGGGACTTCCAGTTATGGAAGGATGCAAGAATTTGGAGAGGACAGCATGTTTTCATTGGAATAGCTGTAGACCAAGTCTCTCTATTCACATAATGCATCAAAGACAAAGTTTTACATTTCAGCCTGGACCAGGTACAGCTTTATAGACATTATGTAGATATTTCAATAGTTAAGCACTATAGACTACCACATTCCCACCCTATTCTTCTCCCCTCCATACACCAAGACATGAGTTCATAAGGATTAGGTCAGGAGACAAATACGAAGGAGAGGCAACAAGGTGTCTAAAACATTCCCACTGCTGAGGCTTCACTTCTCAGTCAAACGTGACCGTCTCTTCCTCCCCTGGGATAAATTCTCCCCAAGAGTACTCTTAGTCCCACAAACTTCTGGCAGATCCTGTCCTGAGTCAGCTAGCTTTGTCCAGACTTGTCTGAGCCCCAGCCAAGGGGGAATAAAATTTAAGCTCAACTGAGACCGCCACTATCTTTCATTTCAATAAAAAGTAGAACTGTCTCTTGGATCACGGCAAATAACTTGCTGATGCACTTAGTTCTTTGGGTGTCAGCAGAAGCTGGCACTTTCATTGTTTTCTCATTCTGAAATTTCAGTTTTATAAATCTCCAAATTAATTCAGAGCAGCTGAAGATGAATCTGCTTCAGAAGGCTACACGCTTCCCAAAGTATCCCAGTTGTTTCAGGGTCTAATTTACTGTAGATTTGTGGGCTCACTAGCTTTTAGCCTCATTTTGCTTCCCATATCAGCACCTGTATTTGTTACACAGCCACTGGCTGAATCACTCTGAGAGTTATGAAGACATGTGGACAGCCCAGGGGCCACATGATTCATCCAAGGTGACACTGTGAGTGTATTATTGGTCACCAGGTTAGGATGTGTCTCACAGAAATTGAGTTCAGCGACTGACCAGTTCCCTGGAAAAATAATTCCTCGTTTTTAAGGATATAAGGTTCTCCCTAAACACATCAACATCTTCTGTTTAAAGTCAAAGCAGAGATGATGCCACTTCCTGATAGAAGGAGGCTATTGCTACCCTGCACCAGACACAGCAGCAGGAACAGGGGCCACTGAAGAGTATGCCAGTCTCTCTTCTCATCTCAAGGATTGCATCTAGTAAAGGAGAAAGACAGGAACCTTCACATGGCAGAGTGAGATACTTAATAGAGGTATACTCAAGGTATAAGGCTGGATTCTGGTGGATGGGCGGTTAAGCTTGACTCTGCAGGGAGGAGTAGCTTAAGGTGGCGATGCTTAAGTGCCATCTTTTATATTACATCTATTCCATGAGGTGATGCTCTTGGCTTAGAAACCCTCACACTGCCATTTATACCAGTCCCTTAAATCTCTGCCAACTCCTCCCACCCTGAGTTAGTGCAACAGCTGCATATCAAAGCACTTGAGAAGCCTTTGAAAAATAGAGATGCTCAAACCTCACCATAGGCTGACAGAGAGAATCTCCATAAAAGGAGTCTGGTAGGGAGGGTAACGCTCTCTTAAAGCTCTATCTTCAGAGGACTCCCTGGATGTACAGCCAGCCAGCCTGGCATGAGCCTTCAGACTGGCCTCTGGAAACCATTGCTCCAAATGACCTCCATCAGAATCCCATACAGGCCATCAGTGGTGCTGGGGAGTATTCCCTGAAGTCTGCCACGCGACATGATCTGCTTTTAAAGATTCAGCTGCGAGCCCAACCTGAAGAGGAGATGCCTCTGGGTAAAAGTAGTATATGCTAAGCTTAGAATTCACCCAAGTCTATTTTGATTCCATCCGTCATGTCTAGACTCTCATTTGTCACCATCGGGTAGAACTGTTTAGGACACAGCCAGACTACTGTGGGCTATGAGGACAAGGGTATAAGATCAGACCTAGCTTAGCTTCCAAGTCAGCTCTTGGCTCCTCCGTAAATTCCTGGAAGTATTTATTGGTCAGATTGAGTAGTCCTTTTTCCATAGGGATTTGGGTACATGCCAGGTTTGGCCATTTGCTCAGACCAGTGAGCTGACTGAAAAAGTACAAGCACCCCAAACCTTCAGATTCACAAGCACTCTGGCCATGCGCACTTCCGTAGTGCGTAAGACATAGTGCCAGGTTAGTAAAGGAAGCACTGGGCGTGAGGCAAGAGACCTGGATTCCAGCTCTCACTGCCACCACGTACCTGTGTGACCTTGGGTGTTTCACAGAACCTCTCTGGGTCAATTTCCTTATCCATAAAATGAGGGAACCTGACTAGAAGATTCTCAGGGTCAGACCTCTTTTCATTGGGATAATGATGATTGATAATGCTTTGGAAGTTGTTATAAACTCATTTGCATAGATATCTCTGCCTAAACTATAAGTAATTGGAAATGTGACTCCTAGAAATAATTTTTCAAAAGCCATCCTTTATTAATTAAAATAGAATAAAATAAAATGGTCCAATATTATTAGCTGGGCATGGTGGCGTGTGCCTGTAATCCCAGCTACTCAGGAGGCTGAGGCAGGAGAACTGCCTGAACCCAGGAGGCGGAGGTTGCGGTGAGCCGAGATCGCACCATTGCACTCCAGCCTGGGTAACAAGAGCGAGACTCCGTCTCAAAAAAAAAAGGTCCAATATTTATTTGATGTCTACTGTGCACCAGGCCTTGTGTTGAGTGGTTCTCCCTTTGTGAGTTTGTTTAATCTTTCTAAAAACCCAAGAAAATTCCTGTTCCAGTTAAGAAGACCCTGGAACATTCTCATTTCAGACAGGACAGTAGACTCAGATGGTAAAATAACTGGCCTAGATTCACAGAGCTAGTAAATGACAGAGCTAGAGCTCTTATTATTTCAGATAAGACAGCAGACTCAGAGGGTAAAATAACTCGCCTAAGTTCACTGAGCTAGTCAATGACAGAGCTAGGGCTGAAGTCCAAGTTTCGTTATTCTAAATCCAGTGCTTTTGACAGCTGAAATTCAGTTGTAATCCTGTGGGTAGGAAAGGCCCTTTGTAAATCAACTGGCTGGTCCAGTTCAGTGGAGAATAACTGTGGGAAACCACACATGACAGCATTGCTATTTACCCTGCAATTCTTGTTTGCCTTCAGGGGCCTTCCTAAGGCTTACATTAGCAACTCAGTCTCGACTGAGCTACCCAATGAATGCTCCTGTCTCGTTTCTGCTCTTACTAATTTTTATTTCTTAAAGAGGAGAGTTAAAAATAAAACACAACTAAGTATTAGGGCAAAATTAATAGGTCTTTAATCCTATAAATCCAAGCAAAAATTCCAAATTTAAAATCCCAAGGAAAACAGAGCAGAACCCATCGTACCAGCAGAGAGGGACAGAATACCAAATTTACTAAGTTTTAAAACAGTATTAGCTGGAACATCATATTGTAGGAGCACAGAGAGCCATGACTTTACATGTTCTGCCTTTCTACGTGATTAAAATACCAATTTTGACACTGTATTAATTTCAACCATAATTCACTCATTTTATGAAATATTCGTTTTTTAGGACACATCTGACTATTTATTTATAATCAATCCACCATGTATAAAGGAATGCTACCAGTTAGAAGGCAAGTGTAAGTCTTAAGTGCTCCCAATAACATCGGGATACAAAGAATGAACAACACATCCTACAGTGCACAAATGACCATACTGAACACCTCTCAAAGAGTTTGTATAGATTAGGCAGGTTAGCAAGCTGCAGGATATTACCATCTTCTGTGAAATGTCTGGGAGGCAGAATGCGTGAGCGCAAGGCTTTATAGGCAATGTGTTTTACAGTCCACTTCGAGGAGTTTGGAATGGAGCCAGGAACTTCACTGTGCTGGCCTGAGAGGGTCAACTCCTCAGGTATGTACTGCTGTTGGATGGAGTAGAACATAGTGCATTCTTTACTGAGGCTTTCAAAACATTCCTTTTCTTCATCCCAATTCCCCTCAGTGGCTAGTCGAAGAATGAAAATAGGCAGTCCCTCCAAAAAGGGCACATAGTTGTCAATCAGAAGGGGTAATCCAATCAGGTTCCCTTCCTCATCAATTTCCAAAGAGAAATATCTGCAAGCATCTCAGCTCTCCTCTTCAGAAACTCAACAATGTATTCAGCAAGTCCTTCTCTGGGACCATCTTCCTCTGTCCAGCCATTCTCTGGCCTATCTAAGGTTCAGCAAGTCCTTCTTCGGGACCGTCTTCCTCTGTCCAGCCATTCTCTGGCCTATCTAAGGCAAGCATCGTGAGGTCAAAGAGCGGTGCTGGCTCCAATAACCTCAGGACACCAAAACTGGCAAAATCATAAATGAGTATCTGGTAGAAAAGTTCTTCACTAAGCTGGTGGCGTTGAGAAGGTATAACTTGGTCTGATGCTGTGCCAAGGCCCACTGAGGATTCAGGCAGCCCACGAAGGAGTGCTTATGCAACATTTCCCAGAGTATCTCATGTCCCCTTTGATTAATTTCTTCCTGGAGACTCAAAACAATGGTGAGGTTAATGATCTTTCTCTGGGGGGTACAGACTACAGTCATGTCCTTTCGGGAATCATCTTCCACCATTTCCACATCAGAATCTTCCCGATGTCTCTTTCCAGGATTGCCTGGGCTGGAAGTGGGTCATCTCTTCTCTGACATTTCTGAAGTCCCCTTTCTTGTATCCCCCTCCAGGCTCTGATTTTTGGCAGCCACTTAAGCAGGGGCTGTAAGTTCAAGCATCTTCTCATCTTGCTGCCTAGCCCTGCCACTGGAAATATCCATCTTATCCTCTGGGACAATGGCCTGGGGCTGACTGGACAGCAGTTTGCTCAGAGGCTGCAGAAATGTATCAAGCTTCTGTTCTCAGGAATCTGTACAAACCATCTGGTGGGCGTAGACCTTGTCACTACTTCCAGAAGTAGAAGAGGAGGTCAGACTTGTGGATTTAACCATCTCCCAAGAGGGGCCAGTGAGTCCTGGTAGCAAAGTCTGGGCGAAGGACATCCTGGAGGAATTGGAGCCCAAGAGTTGCTCTCAGTGTGCTGCTGCTCCCACTCCAGGATGCTCTCCTCATGCAGGAAGTGAACTTCGTGCTTTGTGAGGTGCACATTAACATCCACATTCTGGGGACTGATTTCTAAACTGACGCATAGGAATGGGTGTGTGTGTTTGGGCAAATAGGCTGCCTACACTGTTTGTATGGCTTTTCTCAAGGAAGTTGATCCTACCAGACGGTGGTTGATAAAGAGTAAGAAGATGCACTTCTTCACCGAGTAGTTTGCATTGGAAATATAACTATTCACCTTGAAGGCTAGGGTTTTATCCTCACACCCAATTTCTATCAGTTCTCAACTAACAGCATTTCCAAAGATGGAGCGAATATTGTCCACGGTTGAGGCATTAGCTACTGTCTAACATCAGCTACTACCTCTGTTTTTTAACTGAGAAACTGATGCCTGAATTGTGTATTGAATACCTGCCAGCAACTTCCAAAATTTTCCCATATTCTTCACTTGGATTTTTTAAAGATTTTCTTCTTGTGGTTATGTTGTAAAAAAGGTCCTCTGCCATGATCTGGGTCCCTTGATTGCCAGCACATGGTTTAGGAGGAGCTTTCAGTTTTCCATCTGAGTAACTTGCTCTGTATGCACATTTTCCATCAGCTGTTTCCCTGGAATAGTAACCTGAGCCACGTGGCTTATGCTGGCCAAAGCCCCACCTTGAAAGGTACAGGTGGAAATACTGACTAAATCCTCAAAGGACCGCAGTTTACTCGTAGGGAACCTCTCACATACAATATCCAGACCTTCTTTCCTGATCCCAGTGCCACTGTCTTGGATCCGAATCAACTTCAGGCCTCCCTCTTTAGCGACCACTTGAATCCTTGCAGATTTTGCATCTAAACAGTGCTCAGTGATCTCTGTGACGGCATTAACCGGCCGCTGGATAACTTCCCTCACGTGATGTGGTTCACCACTGTCTCATCCAGCCACCAAACAACCCCAGCCATGAACGACATTTTGGCGCCAGAGCAGCTCAGGAAACATCTAGATGCTCACCTGAAGTGCCTTCAGTCAATCCGAAATATTCTTTAAAAATGAATTAGCATTCTAAGATTTACAGTGTTAAAAAGAATTACTTATCAGTGTTATTGGCTCACATAACATTTATAAAAGATAAAGAGATAGTTTGAAATGATTCTGAGGTCACACAGTAGGGACTTTAGGCTGCCAAGCCCCAGTTCACACTCGGCACCTGGCAAACATTTAAACCACACGTTGAAGAACCACTTAGCCATTCTTTTATAGGAATGCCTCATACACAATCTACTCTGGTACAGGAGCTGACAGGGTGGATGTGCTATTCATCACAACGTGGAGGCCCAGCATTTTCATGGGGTGTGGAAGAGGTACCAGCAGTATTTTCTAGCCTCAATTGTCTCTTTGGCCTGTAGTTTTCTATCATTTACTTGTTGTTAAATTTCCTTTTGCCTCTCACCATCACCATCATTGTTTTCAGTTCTTTTAGCTCAGAAAGTGTGGGTCTAATATTAATATCTAGATTTGTCAGTTCCAGAAGTTGAAGGTCCTTGCCAGCGTTGATCTAAAGTAAAACCACACACACACACACACACACACACAGACACACACACACACGAGAGAGAGAGAGAGAGAGAGAGAGAGAGAGAGAGAGAGATTGCTTGTGAGCCATGTGCATTCAATCTGAGGTCTGTGAGATCCTTTAGGCATTTTATTTCCTGTTTTGTTCTCTTAATTTCCCTGGCTTGGTTTCAGTGTAGACTCAGGTCTGGTCAATAGATAATGTAGATACCCTATCACTGGCTTGTGAGAGTAATTGTTTTAATGAGGCATCTGACGGGCTTCTGTTGGTCCCCAGGAAGCAAGGCAGAAGGGATTGTGTTTATAATCGACTCTAATCCGTTCTAATCTTCCACCTTAACCTCGCCAAGAATTAAGTGATTGATTTTTGGTCTCTTGAAAGAAAATAAAGACCTCCTGAGACAAAACTTGGCAGCTTGTCCAAAGACAAAGAAACAACTGAGGGCCGGCACTGTTTGTACTTGGATATGGGGAACCGTCGCGGTCTAAGTGGGCAATTTCCCTCCCATCAGTTCTTGGTTCCTAATTGAGCACTCGCATGGTCCCGGGTCAGAGGTTAGATGGAATTTCATAATAATTTATTTACCTCAGCATCAGACACCTGTAGATGGAATATGGCAAATATGGCCAGGCCAGGTTATTCTTTGGCATTCTGCTTCCTTTGAGGGGTATCCCTCACTCCCTTGACCTGAGTTCAAAGTCTGTAGTTCCCAGTTTACTGCTTTCAGACAGCAGATAGTACCCTTTTTCTCACTCTACTCAGAAAGACATGTTAGTTCCCTCTTAAGAAGTCTATTTTCCCATACAAGTTCATGTTGGCTGGAACAAGAATGTGCTGTTGAAGTAGCTGACTACTAAACGGGATGTTACTCACACACGTGTTCATCTCTTAACCTACTAGTGAAATCAGGGCTGAAATGATAAGCTAATGAGAATAGAAAACAATAAGTAAGCATTGAGGGAAAGCTGACCTCCCTCTTCCTTACCTTTCTTGTCCCCTCCAAACCTCCTGTTCTCACCATTCCTCAGGCACGTGTTTAGCTTCCATTTTTCCATATAGTTCACATATGCAGTGTCAGAGGAGTGGCATGCACAGAGGCTGAACTTCAAGTCAGAAGGCAAAGAGGGAGAGGATTCTTTAGAGAAAAGAAAAGAGGATGAGAGATAGCAAGAGCGGGGAGCAATTAAGTGTGGTTGACAGTATACCCTATTGGCAGCATATTTAATTGTCTTCACTCATCTTTTTGAACCTAGGCCCCTCAGCACCCTAAGATCACCACCTGGCCAAGCTGCAACCTCCTATCCAGCTGCAACCTCCTGGCTTGCTCCCTAACACCAGGTGCTGTTCATTCTAGTCCAAAGTCAGCCTTATCTTCACTCTTTTTTTTTTTTTGGCCTCCTGTCACCATCCTCCCAGTCACTAGCCCAAAATTCCCTGTTCCACTTTTCTCAGGGTTCCTTCCTTACTGATTTACAAACACACACACACACACACACACACACACACAATGTCTCTATTCATACACAAAGCTGAGGGTTCAAGTCAGAACTTTAACTCTCTTACTCTCCACATCCCAATTTTACCGTAATTTCTCTGATAACCACCCTTCTACAGAGCAAGCTCTTCCGTATTCAGTGTGCGTACTCCATCAGTGCCCTGTCTCGCTCTCTTAATCTCCCAAATACTTCCCTGAGTTCTTCCCTGTTTCTTGAATTATTAATCTCTTCCTCTTCACTGTCTGCTTCCTACAACTTAAAATAAATTTTATCTTATGAAAAAAAAATCCCATTCTAATAATACTTAACCGCTTTCTCCTCTTGCTGTCTCTCATCCTCTTTTTTTCTCTCCAAAACTCCTCTCCCTTATTGCCTTCAGAATTGAAGGCACACCAATCCCCTGGCACTGCATATTTGAACTTACTAGTGATAAATGAAGCTGGGAGTGTAGACAGAGAAAGAAGAAAGAAAAGAGAACTGCTGAAAGACTATGATTCCAAGAATAGAAGGCAGAATCACCGACAAAGAAGATGGAAAAAGGCTAGCCACAGAAGTGTGTGGGGGGTAGGAATGGGGGCAAGAGAGCACGGCCCTGGACTTACCCTGAAAGTCAGAACAAGGTGCACAGAAGCCCCACTCTCTGATCAAAGGGTGTCAGGAGGGGAATGTGCCAACCTCCATTCCAGCCAGGTGGGCCTTACCCAATCAGTTTGTGGTTGCATTGCTGGGACAGAGAAATGGAGACCAGTGCAGCAGGTGTGAGGCTAGTCTTTGTCCTGCAAGACAGTGCTGGACAGAGGGGACAGTCAGCTGCTAATGCCAGGGGACCAGCAGTCCTGGAAGGAGCTACTGAAAGATGAAGGAAGCTTCTGGTTAAGAACTGTGGTGCCCCCTCACCTCTCTCCACCTACCCATCTACCCACACATTTTAGCCCCAGGAACTTCAACTTTTAACAAAGCGTTGCTAATATCTGAGTTTTGTGCTGATTTGATTGCCTCCTGTTTTCTCAGGATCCATGTCAGATTGTGTCTTTAAATTTTAAATCAATGAAAAATACTATTTTTCAACCTATCAGCAAACGTTAGGACTTTTATAATCAAACTTACATTTATAAGAAGAGTAGCCAGACCAAGGTTCAAGTATAATTTAAACAGAAAAGGAAAAGTGCGTTATTGTTTTGTCACACTGAAGCTTTAAGCCACGCAGATCAAGTTTATGTCAGAATATTATTAAAAAACCAAGTCTACAACATGTGGATTTGGGGAGCATGTGTCAAATTTGATGTGGGAAAGAGGAATATCCCACAATTGGGTATAAGGGATCTGTCAAAGGCAAGTTATTTCATAATAACCTAAGAGGAAATGAGAGGGGAAAATCAGTGCAGAAAGAATCCTTGAATCTTTCTTAGCCAAAAGAAAACAGCTCCTCACTCAGACAGTACTGTCCCTGAGTAAATGTCATCTGTAAGAATATTTATCTTTGTGTTCCCACTTTCCTTGATGATATCATTATTCCAGCAAAGATCATTCCTGTCTGGCCCCCACACATCAGCAGCACATAAACACTAACTTGCTTAGGGAACTCCACCAGCAGCAGAGCCCAGGGAAATGGTGTCATCCGTTTAAGATGTCTCATACCACAGACACAGTTATCCCAGGCCATTGCTGAATGCAACAGGCCGACAATATGAGAAGCCGGCAGGAAATCCAGTATCTAAACCCAATATGAGATTGTGGGCCCAATCTAATAAAGATAGATTCATCTGGCTTTATTCCCATTTTGTCTCCTGCTTTGCGGGGCGAGTAAAGCATGATAAATCGGAGCATTATGGCAACCTCTGAGTGCATATCGACCCAACATTCCCTCAACTTTCATGCTGAACATCTTGAATCATGCGAATTAGTGGGGACTCAGTTTCCAACTGTACCTTCCTTTCTATCACAGTGGAAGCTTAAGAGACTTTCTCAAGTTTAGCTTAAAAGATTCCAGTGGTGAATGTTCTGAGGCTAAATTCACAAGTGAATCTGATGAAAATTTACACATTTATCTGACGTATGTTAAAGAGTCTAAAGTCATCATCAGCCCAGGAAGCAAATGGGGCGGATGCATTGGCTAACTTGCCTATGTCTGCCATGGGCTCTATGCCTTTAATAACTTAAATTTGATTCAAACAAAATTGATAAGGGGGCAAAAGGACAGAGAATCTGAAGTTTCGGATTCTTCTTCTTTTATTTTTTTTTTTTTTGAGACGGAGTTTCGCTCTTGTTACCCAGGCTGGAGTGCAATGGCGCGATCTCGGCTCACCGCAACCTCCGCCTCCTGGGTTCAGGCAATTCTCCTGCCTCAGCCTCCCGAGTAGCCAGGATTACAGGCACGCAACACCATGCCCAGCTAATTTTTGTATTTTTAGTAGACAGGGGGTTTCACCATGTTGACCAGGATGGTCTCGATCTCTTGACCTTGTGATCCACCCGCCTCGGCCTCCCAAAGTGCCGGGATTACAGGCTTGAGCCACCGCGCCCGGCCTGCTTCTTGTTTTTTTAAGCAGATGGATTTATTTTTTTTTTTTAAATAGCATTTCTGTGCCCAAACCAGTAGATCTGTATATTGGGTAACTGTTTACTTTAGGCTTTCATGTAAGCCCTGGCAAGATCTTCCCATTCATCTAATCACAACAGCAGGCTGTGATTAATCTACGGCAGCATTGATTTTTTAAGGATCATTGAAAAGCCCTCCTTAGTTCAGGGAGAAAAAATGCATTAAGGGATTACAGGCTACATCTGCCAAAACTAAGATATCTACTCATATAATATATTGTAATTTCTGTTTTACATGGCCTATCATTTTCTCTATATTTCATGGAAGTCTTATATTTTATAACTTAATGGCAGGCCAAGTCATTTGGTGGTGACTATTAAACTCGTCTTGAATCAATGAACTAGAATGCCATTTTCATTTATGTAATCTTTAGCAGTTTACCATTTTACTAATGAGGAAACGCAAGCCCGGAAAAGTTAAATGACCTATCTATCCAACATCACTGAGTTGGGGGAGAGCCATGTCTATCTGCCTTCCTTCCCTGGACTCGTCTCTCTCGCTTCTTACTTTTCTTAGCATTATTGTGACTTTGTTAGCTGTGCTATGGGCCAGACGCTGCACCAGAAACTTGCACATATGTAATCCTTTTGAATTTTCACCGCAATCTCGAAGGAAGGTATTGTCATTATCATAATTTTATATGTAAGGAAACTAAAGCTAAAAGAATTTAAGTTACTTGACCAAGGTCATTCAAGTAAAAGCTGGGTAAATCCCAGATATTAAGTTAAAGTTTGTTTCAGCCCAAATTCCAAGCTCCTAATTGTACGCTCTATGTAACGTTGCTTAGAAAGATGACACTGGAGTGTTCTGCCATTTTTCCCATTTCCCCAACTTCTCCCTTAGGACAAAAGGTGGCTTTCTAAGTTGTTCATGATGTGGGCTCAGATCTTTGCCTGAAAATCACTCTCTTTGCCCGCCTTTTGCTCCATATCTCACTGACTGTCTTAGGGGTCCAAAACAGAGCTGGGAACTTAGGCTAATAATGGGTGGCCCTAAGCAGAACACAGATCACTCTCCTCCAGATCTTTTGAATCTGTACAGTTGACACGGGGAAAGATAAATTGGCATGTGATTTCATCAAGAAAAGAATTGAGCAGCTCATGTAAAATAACATTTTGGGCAAAAGTTGTTGTTATCATTCGAAAAACAAAAAGGACTGTGCATTTTATGCACAGAAGAGCCTGTTTCACACCTGGCCTACCTTGATCTCCGGCACTTCCATGCCGTCAGTCTTCACATCCACCCATTTAAGAGACGCTAGAACACAAAGGCGCATCGAGATTTAGCATCTTGTATAAGGCCCCAGCTAGAAAACGGTAGATCCAGGAACCAGAGCACATCTGGACCCATGTTCTGTACAAGATGGCCTCTGTGCTGAACAGCCCAAATCGGCGCAGGTCTTTTTTACCTATCAGTACAGTTTTAGGTGTGATTTTCAAAAATGATTTGGAATTCTGACATGGCAAAACAAGCCCCAGCGGAGAGGTTTTGATGCCTTTCTTCCAATTACTTCTACTGGAAGTATAGACAGGAAGTGTCTGGAGGCCAGGCTGGATGCTGCTTGGTCTCTGCTGCTCGGAGGTCAGTGTGGAGAAACCACACCCGGTGAAAGGTTGGCTGTTGGTGCAAATCACTGAGGAGGGAGACTCCACACTGCTTGTTTCCACTCGACACTGTGGGAAGCTTGTGCCAGCCCAGGAGTGCTAGGGATTCATTACTTCTTTACTTTTAGCCTATGTTCCTTTTTTTGCTTAATTTATGTTCTCAATATCCAGGACTTTCTGCTCTCATTTTCTGTTTAAAAATATATTCTCGAACCTATTACGATATGATAAGAACTTGGTTAAAGTACTTGGTTTCTCAGTACCCACCAACCATTCACTT